AGAGGTCAGGCATGTTTCAGTCGAGAGGTCGGGCGTGTTTCCATCAAGAGGTCAGGCATGTTTCAGTCGAGAGGTCAGGCGTGTTTCAGTCCAGAGGTCAGGAATGTTTCAGTCAAGAGGTCAGGCGTGTTTCAGTCGAGAGGTCAGGCGTGTTTCAGTCGAGAGGTCAGGGATGTTTCAGTCGAAAGGTCAGGCGTGTTTCAGTCGAGGGGTCAGGCATGTTTCAGTCGAGAGGTCAGGCGTGATTCAGTCCAGAGGTCAGGCATGTTTGAGTCAAGAGGTCAGGCGTGTTTCAGTCGAGAGGTCAGGCGTGTTTCAGTCGAGAGGTCAGGCGTGTTTCAGTCGAGAGGTCAGGCGTGTTTCAGTCCAGAGGTCAGGCATGTTTCAGTCAAGAGGTCAGGCGTGTTTCAGTCGAGAGGTCAGGCGTGTTTCAGTCGAGGGGTCAGGCGTGTTTCAGTCGAGAGGTCAGGCGTGTTTCAGTCGAGAGGTCAGGCGTGTTTCAGTCGAGAGGTCAGGCGTGTTTCAGTCCAGAGGTCAGGCATGTTTCAGTCAAGAGGTCAGGCGTGTTTCAGTCCAGAGGTCAGGTGTGTTTCAGTCGAGAGGTCAGGCGTGTTTCAGTCCAGAGGTCAGGCATGTTTCAGTCAAGAGGTCAGGCGTGTTTCAGTCGAGAGGTCAGGCGTGTTTCAGTCGAGGGGTCAGGCGTGTTTCAGTCGAGGGGTCAGGCATGTTTCAATCCAGAGGTCAGGCGTGTTTTAGTCCAGAGGTCAGGCGTGTTTCAGTCGAGAGGTCAGGCGTGTTTCAGTCGAGGGGTCAGGCGTGTTTCAGTCGAGGGGTCAGGCGTGTTTCAGTCGAGGGGTCAGGCGTGTTTCAGTGGAGGGGTCAGGCATGTTTCAGTCCAGAGGTCAGGCGTGTTTCAGAGGTGTGTTTTAGTCGAGAGGTCAGGCGTGTTTCAGTCGAGAGGTCAGGCGTGATTCAGTCGAGAGGTCAGGCGTGATTCAGTCGAGAGGTCAGGCGTGATTCAGTCGAGAGCTCAGGCGTGTTTCAGTCCATAGGTCAGGCATGTTTCAGTTCAGAGGTCAGGCGTGTTTCAGAGGTGTGTTTCTGTCGAGAGGTCAGGCGTGTTTCAGTCAAGGGGTTTGGCGTGTTTCAGTCGAGAGGTCAGGCGTGTTTCAGTCAAGAGGTCAGGCGTGATTCAGTCGAGAGGTCAGGCGTGTTTCAGTCGAGAGGTCAGGCGTAATTCAGTCGAGAGGTCAGGCGTGTTTCAGTCGAGGGGTCAGGCGTGTTTCAGTCCAGAGGTCAGGCGTGTTTCAGTAAAGGGGTCAGGCGTGTTTCAGTCGAGAGGTCAGGCGTGATTCAGTCGAGAGGTCAGGCGTGTTTCAGTCGAGAGGTCAGGTGTGTTTCTGTCAAGAGGTCAGGCGTGTTTCAGTCGAGAGGTCAGGCGTGTTTCAGTCCAGAGGTCAGGCGTGTTTCAGTCCAGAGGTCAGGAATGTTTCAGTCAAGAGGTCAGGCGTGTTTCAGTCGAGAGGTCAGGCGTGTTTCAGTCGAGGGGTCAGGCGTGTTTCAGTCGAGGGGTCAGGCATGTTTCAGTCCAGAGGTCAGGCGTGTTTTAGTCCAGAGGTCAGGCATGTTTCAGTCCAGAGGTCAGGCATGTTTCAGTCCAGAGGTCAGGCGTGTTTCAGAGGTGTGTTTTAGTCGAGAGGTCAGGCGTATTTCAGTCGAGGGGTCAGGTGTGTTTCAGTCCAGAGGTCAGGCGTGTTTCAGTCGAGAGGTCAGGCGTGTTTCAGTCGAGAGGTCAGGCGTGTTTCAGTCGAGAGGTCAGGCGTGTTTCAGTCGAGGGGTCAGGAGTGTTTCAGTCGAGAGGTCAGGCGTGTTTCAGTCCAGAGGTCAGGAGTGTTTCAGTCAAGAGGTCAGGCGTGTTCCAGTCGAGAGGTCAGGCGTGTTTCAGTCCAGAGGTCAGGCGTGTTTCAGTCCAGAGGTCAGGCGTGTTTCAGTCGAGAGGTCAGGCGTGTTTCAGTCCAGAGGTCAGGAGTGTTTCAGTCGAGAGGTCAGGCCTGTTTTAGTTCAGAGGTCAGGTGTGTTTCAGTCCAGAGGTCAGGCGTGTTTTAGTCGAGAGCTCAGGCGTGTTTCAGTCCAGAGGTCAGGCGTGTTTCAGTCGAGGGGTCAGGCGTGTTTCAGTCGAGAGGTCAGGCGTGTTTCAGTCCAGAGGTCAGGCGTGTTTCAGTCGAGGGGTCAGGCGTGTTTCAGTCCAGAGGTCAGGAGTGTTTCAGTCCAGAGGTCAGGCGTGTTTCAGTCGAGAGGTCAGGCGTGTTTCAGTCCAGAGGTCAGGAGTGTTTCAGTCAAGAGGTCAGGCGTGTTTCAGTCCAGAGGTCAGGAGTGTTTCAGTCAAGAGGTCAGGCGTGTTTCAGAGGTGTGTTTTAGTCGAGAGGTCAGGCGTGTTTCAGTCGAGAGGTCAGGCGTGATTCAGTCGAGAGCTCAGGCGTGTTTCAGTCCAGAGGTCAGGCATGTTTCAGTCCAGAGGTCAGGCATGTTTCAGTCGAGAGGTCAGGCGTGTTTCAGTCGAGAGGTCACGCGTGTTTCAGTCGAGAGATCAGGCGTGTTTCAGTCGAGGGGTCAGGTGTGTTTCAGTCCAGAGGTCAGGAGTGTTTCAGTCAAGAGGTCAGGCGTGTTTCAGTCAAGAGGTCAGGCGTGTTTCAGTCGAGAGGTCAGGCGTGTTTCAGTCGAGAGATCAGGCGTGTTTCAGTCGAGGGGTCAGGTGTGTTTCAGTCCAGAGGTCAGGAGTGTTTCAGTCAAGAGGTCAGGCGTGTTTCAGTCGAGAGGTCAGGCGTGTTTCAGTCGAGAGGTCAGGCGTGTTTCAGTCGAGGGGTCAGGAGTGTTTCAGTCCAGAGGTCAGGCGTGTTTCAGTCGAGAGGTCAGGCGTGTTTCAGTCCAGAGGTCAGGAGTGTTTCAGTCAAGAGGTCAGGCGTGTTCCAGTCGAGAGGTCAGGCGTGTTTCAGTCCAGAGGTCAGGCGTGTTTCAGTCGAGAGGTCAGGCGTGTTTCAGTCCAGAGGTCAGGAGTGTTTCAGTCAAGAGGTCAGGCGTGTTCCAGTCGAGAGGTCAGGCGTGTTTCAGTCCAGAGGTCAGGCGTGTTTCAGTCCAGAGGTCAGGCGTGTTTCAGTCCAGAGGTCAGGCGTATTCCGGGGGGGGGTTTCATTCGAGAGGTCAGGCGTGTTTCAGTAAAGAGGTCAGACGTGTTTCAGTCCAGAGGTCAGGCGTTTTTCAGTTGAGAGGTCAGGAGTGTTTCAGTCGAGAGGTCAGGCGTGTTTCAGTCCAGAGGTCAGGAGTGTTTCAATCAAGAGGTCAGGCGTGTTTCAGTCCAGAGGTCAGGAGTGTTTCAGTCAAGAGGTCAGGCGTGTTTCAGTCCAGAGGTCAGGCGTTTTTCAGTCGAGGGGTCAGGCATGTTTCAGTCGAAAGGTCAGGAGTGTTTCAGTCAAGAGGTCAGGCGTGTTTCAGTCCAGAGGTCAGGCGTGTTTCAGTCGAGGGGTCAGTCGTGTTTCAGAGGTGTGTTTCAGTCAAGGGGTCAGGCGTGTTTCAGTCCAGAGGTCAGGTGTTTTTCAGTCGAGGGGTCAGGCATGTTTCAGTCGAAAGGTCAGGAGTGTTTCAGTCGAGGGGTCAGGCGTGTTTCAGTGTGTGTGTGTAACTCACAGCTGCAGTGTTAGCATTGCTTTCACAGATTTACGTAAACATTTGGCTTAGCTGTGAGTGTGTGTATGAAGATATCAGAGATAATAGATGAAATGCTGTGATTGCCCTTCTCGTGTGTGAGTGTGTGTGTAACTACTTATCTATATTTTAGGGACAAATGTAAACCCAGAAGTGATGAAAACATGACAAAATCTAAAAAAAAAACTCCCTTCAGAAGCATCTTGTAAATATGGTATACAAATAAAGTAATTATAGAGACAAGACAGAGAACCAGCTGAACTGTAAATGATCACAGTGTTAGTCTGATGAAGCAGTGTAAAACTGCAGATGAGTGTGTGTTAGCACTGCTGAGGGTCTCGCTGTAGGGAGCAGTTTGTTTCTCACTGTAGAGAGTGTGTGTGTGTGTGTGACTCAGGGCAGACTGCCAGTCGACAGATGGATGAGCTGATGGAGTGATACGCTCTGGCCCCAGGCACACACACACACACACAGGCAGGTTTGAGCTTCAGGCACGAGGCCCAGACAGGTAGAGGTGGAACGTGACTCCTCACACACACCAGGACTCGACCCGCCACCCGCTCCTCTCGCAGTCTCCACAGAGACACCAGCACTGAGGAACAACACTGATGTCATGTTGGAGGTGTGTGTGTGAGTGTTTTATCGCAAACATGAGGGAAGTCATGACGGTGACGACATCAGGAACGAGGAGCTTCACGACACACTCGCTCGGAAACACCAGCATTATGGGTCATCAAGGGTCACAGGTCAAGCACTGATTCTTATTACACCGTCATGTTGGCTTCTTAAATTCGGCTCTCTAGATTTTTGCCATTTGTTAAATCCGTCTATTGAGAATCAGTGCTGGAGGATCAAGTTCAGCTCTAGAAACCTTTGCTTCAGATCATAGGAAAGCAGAAGCATCATCACGCTGTCGTTTAATCCGCACACGTCTTCTGTCCATCATTTCTCCTCAATAATAGAGACGTGCAGAGCGGGAGGATCTGGACTCACACATGCATCTCTGAGCTCTAATTCTGATCAGATCATTATTATTGTGTTATGTCTGTCATAATCATCTGTAAAAAATATAATGACGTGCTCTATAATAACTATCACCATCTTATTTTTTAACCCCTTCATCCACCGTTCATATAAAGACCTTTGACCTTCCAGTTGAGTCCATATTGATTATATCTTTTTAAAACACTGTTTAAACTCATTGCCTTTGATTCAGTTGGGTCTGTTTTGTTATTATGGAGATGTTTCCTTAATATCTGAGACTCGCAAAACTGACCTGAACTTTTTGTTTGTTTCTACAGTACTATCTACAGTGGATGAGTGACGGGGACAGAGGGGACTCTGGGATTGGACATATATGTGGAGATATGTGGATGTAAGGCATTGCTCTGGGTTGTGTGTGACAGACGAGGCCTGGACTGCTCTCTACTTTCTCATGTTCCCTTCGGATGGGTCAGTACTGTTCCAGTGACGCTAACATACACAACAGCTGCGATGTTGACCATAGCAACTTCAGTTCATGTGCCAGGGACAAGATCTTCAACCTAGGTCTTATAATAGGGCAATGTCGTTTTATAAATGATTGGGTTGTGCTGATGACTACATTCGCACTCTCACACATCTTGCACTCAATTGCTTCGTTTCATTATTTGCATTTTTTTTTTGTATTCATGGTTGTATAACATGATTTGTTTTTTGCACACAACTGATATAAAATAATTTTCATTTATTTAATTTTTTTATTTTTGCCTGAATAAACAAAAACGAAAGTGGATTAAAGAGAAATCTATCAAAACTGTGTCTTTGTCATGTTGTTAAAATGGCGTTGACAGGCACAAGATATTAAAGGTTAATAAAATTAAACTTTTTATAATGACGTATTCTATTATAGGCCTACATGTGTAATAATTCCCCCGGATTACTGTCCTCCAGACTGCCTTTACACACAAACTGACTGACACAGTGTACACACTGAGTGATTAGTTCTGTTGTCTTATCTGGCATCGACTTACTACAATCATTATTACAATCAATGTGTGTGTGTGTGTGTGTGTCAGACGTCATGTTTACGGCAGATTTAGCGAGTAACCTCATGTGAAGGCCATATGCCAGTAACAGTTACGCTGAATCTTCTTCTTGCACAGATGGAAAGTTCTCAGGAAGCAGTTCATGCACTGATTTCAAGAGAACCACCTGACTCAGGGACGTGAGTCTTCCGGTTATTTCAGCCTACGGAAATTTTGGAAAAGTCATGGTAATTTGTTTCAAAATACACTCCTAAAGGATTATTAGGAACACCTGATCAATTTCTCATTAATGCAATTATCTAATCAACCAATCACATGGCAGTTGCTTCAATGCATTTAGGGGTGTGGTCCTGGTCAAGACAATCTCCTGAACTCCAAACTGAATGTCAGAATGGGAAAGAAAGGTGAATTAAGCAATTTTGAGTGTGGCATGGTTGTTGGTGTCTGAGTATTTCACAATCTGCTCAGTTACTGGGATTTTCACACACAACCATTTCTAGGGTTTACAAAGAATGGTGTAAAACATCCAGTATACTGCAGTCCTGTGGGTAAAAATACCTTGTTGATGCGAGAGGTCAGAGGACTGAATCAATGCTACGTGGAATTAAGGCAGTTTTGAAGGCGAAAGGGCGTCAAACACGTATTAGTATGGTGTAATAATCCTAATAATCCTTTAGGTGAGTGTATTTATGTAATAGAATGTGTTCAGGCGAAGTGATAATACCAGTTAAAGGTTGTATCAGTGATTTCAGGGGCGGGTTTTGTGAGGTTTTGCGCTTGTGCGGTTGGGTTGGCACAGCTGGAAGCAAAGTCGGAGCAAAACCCGCTCCTGTCGGTGATTGGTTCTCGGAACAATGTTTATTTTGGTTTTGAGTGGTTGTATCCCAATGTTTTTGGTGCAGATTTCAGAGCATAGGCTGCCCACACAGACGTGTTTTTTTGACAGCCTGCTTATGGGGCTTGGCAGCTAGCGGATCGTTAGGAAAAATGAGTTGAATGTGATAAATTATTTTTGGGCCTGAAAAACACTGATACAACCTTTAAACAAACTACAATAGGCCTACTAACGGACCATCCGACTGCAGCATTTTGCTGCGTTGAGCATTATAACCAATCGCACGCATCTCAATTGAGCCTATGAGTGTGATTGGCCAATCAGAGGCGTTCAGATTAGCCATCGCTGAAACCAAGAATTGTGTTCAGTGTGTGTGCTCTTCTGACTGATTTCTGACTTAAAACTTGCATATTCTCCCCTCATAAACTACTACGTTCAGTCATGTCGCAGTGCAGTTAGGACTGGACAATAATTCAATTTGTCTTACAGCAATACATGCTCAAAATGTAATGTACACTGTTCACAAATTTTGTAAGTTATAAAAATAAAACCCCAAAATAGTATTATTATTATTATTTATTGTTCGTACATTGGTATTATTATATTGAGGGCACTTCTTGTTGAACTGTTTACTTTTGTGAGGAAGAATACACTTAGGCTACAGAAGTTGTGTGTCTTTTATCATTTTAATTTGCACAACAAAGAGTCTATGCATATTGTTATTATTATTTATTCATTTTTGGTACATTTCTTAAGAAGCACACTTTATTTTTAGACGTATTTGTTGGCCAGTTTTGGTTCGGATCAATAAATATTAAAAGTTCTAAACAATATATTGTGTTTTATTGTTCCACTATAGTAATGATAACATTTACAATAATATATTGAATTTAATAGGTGTCTCTCTCATTGTCCCACAGAAACATTACAATATTGTAGATTAGTGTTCAATGTTTTAGAATAATACTTTATTCTATTTAGTGTCCATTTCATTCCTTTAACATATTTAATATTAGGGGCATCCAAGTTATTTTACATATTTGATTTTTTTTTAAGTAACTCAATAGTTACTTTCCCTGGGAATTAGTTACTTTTATAATGATGTAACTCAGTTACTATTTGTGAGAAGTAATGCTGAATATTACACAGTAACAGAGGTTGTTTTGGCTTTACAGCAGGTCTAGAATACAGTTATTGTCCAGATAAAGTTAGTTTTGATTGATTCACTTCCGTCGCTAAGATCATTATTAACTTAGCACAACACTGTTTAACTGAACAGAAAACGTTTTATATGTTCTGGACGTTCATTTGCACACAACAGTGTTTGGGACTCGAGAACACAAACTTTGAAACAGGATCCAATGCATGTTTATTATCATATTATCATTTATAATCATCCTATTATCAATTAGAATAGTGTTTCAGTGCCACACTAATAATATAGACCTGTCTCTGAATGATCCAGCCTCTGCGTATATGCCAGAGACGGATTACATATTGTGTTTCCAGTCCAATCATAAGGATTCCCTCCATGATCATTTGCTATTGAAGTGTCGGTCAGTGTCAGGAACAGCCCGTGGGTTGTGTGTGTGGAAGAGGGTCGTTCTCCTCGTACACACAAGCCCGTGTGCTTCGGTTGCGAGTCCAGCGCGCCCATCCTCCTCATAAACAGATCAAGCGCACTGTGACACTAGTTCACCCTGATGTCTCCCTGTGTCACTCCCGTCGTGGGCTTCTGTACAATAGGCCAAGCGCTGATGTTTTGGCAATTAAATATCATGACATCTTTATGCCGCTATCTCTAACTCGACACCATTATGTCATTAGCATGACCACAATGCTTTCCCTTCTCGCTCGCCTTTCTTTTTTCCTCTTTTTTTTCTCACACGCAGAGAAAATGACCTCTCCGCCAATCTCAATTCACTGCGCTTCTATAGCATTGAATGGACAAACTCAACAAAGGTTGACATAATTTTCTCAGGCTTTGATTGGCCCCCTGCATGCCCCACAATGACATCATCCCCCCCCCCCTCCGCTGGATGCTGGATCGTCAGGGTTACGGTGGGCAGGATTTGGCATCGGCCCGTTTGGCTGGTGTTAATGAGTACGGGCAGCGATGGCGGCGTCTTGTGGTAAACAGTCCTGGGAAACACAGGCTGAGCGTGAGGGGAGGGCACGTCCAACCCCCCGACACCCCCGAGCTTTCACATGGGACGTCCACGGGAACATGTCTCTACACCGCACTTGAGTGTGTAGCATTAAAGCCCGGAGGAGGCGAGTACATGGAAGTGGCCGGGGCTGCTGGACGCTCTCCTGGAGGATATGAAGTGATTAAAGGAGCTGTGTGTTGGGAAAAGCCTGCTGGGATGAATTTTTCCTGAATTAATTACAGAAGCTTGTGCCAAAGGGGATTTTCTCTGTCCTCCAGCACCACCTCCCCGCGTTTCTTTGTTTCCTCATGACTCCGTCCAATCGCATGGCAGGAACTAAATCCCTAAGTCACACCCGTAAATCTCCAGCCCTCGCTCTCTTCTGCCGAGCCGTTTAAAGCGCTAGTTGGTCTACACAGTCGCTCATGTCCTTTCTAATCTGTATGACTTACTTTCTTCCATGGCGCCCCAAAACAAAAGAGTGGCTCTACTGTGTGTTACTGCTGAGTACTGACTACTCTAGTCTTCTGTACAGTAGACTGACCACAGATGCCAACTGTGTCATTAAACTATCATTAAAGTAGCATACAGCTAGTCTGTATGACTCGTGCACTATATTCAGTCTTCCGAAGCCACGTGAAAGACTAAAGTCGTTCAGAGAGGACACGAGCAGACATCAAGTGTCGTAACTGATCACCTTATGGGGCAAGCGGGGACAACCTGTCAATCATGTACAATTATGTGGTTTTGTGTCAATAGTGTATATCTTTCCTTTATTTCCCCCGAAAGAATGGAAGTGAAATTGTAACATATCATAAGATCTATTCCTAAATATATATACAAGACAAAATAAAATATTTTCTCAATAAAATACAATTATTTACTTTTTTTGAATTTGACAACAAACACACCACAAAACAAGTCTACAACATAGTTAAAGGATAATTCCGGTATTTAACACCTTGAGTCTATTTTGTAGTTTGTTTTGAATGAAATAGAGTGGTGGACTTAGACATTTTGACAATGGGTCCTGTCTCGACTTTTTGACTATTTTAGACTTCCTTATGGGCGCATGCGCGAGAACTGAGACGAGACCGTTCTTCTTCGACTACTTTTTGTTGCCGGCTGCTCACCGCTTAGGAGTTTTACCGCCCCCTACCGTATAAGATGACGTACTGATATAGCCGGAGGCGCAAAACGTTCTGTTTACAAGCAGTACGTCATCTTATACGGTAGGGGGCGGTAAAACTCCTAAGCGGTGAGCAGCCGGCAACAAAAAGTAGTCGAAGAAGAACGGTCTCGTCTCAGTTCTCGCGCATGCGCCCATAAGGAAGTAATGGAAAGTCGAATAAAGTCGTTATTTACGTTTTTTTTCGCACAAAAAGTAGTCTCGTCGCTTGATAAAGTTATAGTTGAGCCACTGTAGGCACATGGAATATT